TAGTGTGTGAGTGCATGCACACTATTCCTTCTACCCTGCTGCCCTCCCTACTCCACCCAACCCTAACATCTAGAACCTGGCTGCTTCAAGTGTGATCCTACAATTCCGCATCCCAGGGTGTGGTTATAACTCCAGAGTCTCTAGCTTGCCCTAGACCTACTGAATCAGAATCTGCATTTTAATAAAATCCTCATGACTACTATATTTTCATGAGGAAACTTAAAGTTGGAGAAGCCCTGTTGCCAAGATCCCACCTCTTCCAGAAGCCCTCCTTGATAACCAGTGGCCCCTGCCTCCCACCATGCCAGGGAAGATGCCCCTCCTTCAGTGCTCCCAACCTTTTCTCCTCTCATTTATTACAGAGTATCTTGTATATGCTTATCTGTCTGTCTTTTGCTCTAGACTAGGGGGTCCCCACAGACCACACCATCCTTGTGTCCCCTGTGCTGTACAAGGTATGGCATATAACTGGAGCTTAAAAAATGACACTTGTCACAGCTAGTAATAAACTCCTTGTGATTCTCAGCTTTAATAATCAACTTTAAATAACTTATATAACTAGCTTTAACTTTAATAATAATAACTTTAAATAACTAGTTTATAAAGTTTAATAACTAAAAATTTAATCACTAAATTTATTTTTATTTATTTTTTTAGAGAGGGAGGGGGTGGGGGAGAGGGAAAGAGAGAATCCCAAGCGGGCTCCAGGCCCAGCTCAAAGCTCAATCTCATAACCCTGAGATCATGACCTGAGCTGAAATCAAGATTTGGACACTTAAGTAACTGAACTACCCAGGTGTCCCTTATCACTAACTTTAATAACTAACTCAGATACCTGTGAGCTATATGCAAATTATCTCAATTCAGGTTAATTAGGTTAATCATGTTATACATCTGAACCCAGATACTTTGAATGTATTTATATATTTATTTTGAAACATTTAAAATATACAATTTTAAGATATCACAGAATTAACTTTTTATAATAGAAACTTTCAAACATATAAAAAAGCAGGAAGGAATAATGAGCCCATTGTCATGCAGCATCAAAAAATATCTACTTTTGGGGCACCTGGGTGGCTCAGTGGGTTAAAGCCGCTGCCTTCGGCTCAGGTCATGATCCCAGGGTCCTGGGATCGAGCCCCGCATCGGGCTCTCTGCTCGGCAAGGAGCCTGCTTCCCTTCCTCTCTCTCTCTGCCTGCCTCTCTGCCTACTTGTGATCTCTGTCTGTCAAATAAATAAATAAAATCTTAAAAAAAAAAAAAAAATCTACTTTTTTTTTTAAACCATTCTAGTTTCATCTATTTCACTCATCTGACCCATTCACTCTTTGGGAGATGAGGTCATTTTAAAATAAATTCCAGACATATTATCAATTTCAACCACAAATATTTCAGTATGTATCTATAATTTCAAATGACTTAAATAATTATTTGTATATATCCTCCATGCCATTTTTGTACCTAATAAAATTAACAGTGGTTTCTTAATATAATCTAATAGTCTGTGTTCCAATTTCCCTATTTCAAAGATGAATTTGGGGGCGCCTGGGTAGTTCAGTGGGTTAAAGCCTCTACCTTCGGCTCAGGTCGTGATCCCAGGGTCCTGGGATCGAGCCCTGCATCAGGCTCTCTGCTCAGCGGGGAGCCTGCTTCCTCCTCTCTCTCTGCCTGCCTCTCTGCCTACTTGTGATCTCTGTCAAATAAATAAATAAAATCTTAAAAAAAAAAAAGATGAATTTGTATAGTTGAGTTTGTAGAAATCAGGTGAATGTTTTATAGCAAACAAAGAATGGCTCTCAGCAATGATAAAGTATATTTCTCATGCCCGTGGTTTCAGGCCCATGTCGGCTATGTGGAGGAAATTATATTTGCCTTTAAATGCCATTTGCAGGTTCCCCTCCACCTCACAACTAGATTACTTAAACTTTTACAAAACTATCCCAAATTTTTAAAAGGAGTCTAGGTAAAACAGAACAAATCAAAAGCCATGCTGAGGCCCATCACATCCTTTGCAAGCAATGAAATAAATGGGAATTAGAATGGAGAGGATGATTACTTAACAAGAAAGAGATATGCAAAGAACAGATACTAAGCCAAATGGTTTCCGCCTGGTTTAGCCAAACCAACAGGACTGAGTTGTAGAGGATGGGATCTAGAGGGATGGGAACCTTGAGGACTTTTTGAGGAAATTTGCTTTTAATGATCTGTATTTCTTCTGTCCACAATAGGAACTTGGGGTTTCTGAGAAACATACTGGTCCATGTGGTTTGAAGAGCATATCCAATTACCTCAGAGTTGTTCTCTTTTTAACAGTTATGTTCTGGGTCGGGGGTGGGGTGAGTCTGGTGGCGGGTATTAAGGAGGGCACGTATTGCATGGAGCACTGGGTGTAGTGCATAAACAATGAATTTTGGAACACTGAAAAAAATAAAAATAAAATCTTTTAAAAAATTAATTAAAAAAAAATAATGGTTATGTTCTGATCCATGCTCCACAGGTCAAGAGCACAGTTCAAGTTTCTCTTTTTCCCTGTGTGAATCAGACTTCATCGCTGCCTCCCTGCTTGTCTTAGCTCTGTCCGAAACATGCCGCCAGGCAGAGATTCCGGTCGCCACACAATGGCCTGCCATTCAACCACATTCTGTTTTGTCCCTAAACATCCACTCCCCCGCCTCCTGCTGGCTCTGTTATATTCAGATATGAACTTTCCAGGAATCTGATCATGTCACAGGCCTTTTCCTGTATGACAAGTTCAATGCTAATCATGAATAGTGGGCTTCGCACAGAGGGTTAGTATTATTCATGAAAATTATGACTCCACATCCAGAAATAGGGCAAAAATGGCCTAAAATAGGCTGGTTGTATCTCCGTCGAGTCCACTAGGCAACTACCAAGGCCTCTTCCTTCAACCAGCACAGGAGTTTTTCTCAACTACATTAATCAGACACTCAAGGAGCACAATGTTCTCCCAGACTCTCAAAGTCTGAGGCTCAGCTAGATGGGGAGCCCCGGTGCCCACAGGGTGAACGGAAGGGTTTTCTAAAGAACCAAAGCCAGATACTGTTCCCTCCCCAGCACCCCCCTAAATCAGGTACTCCTCAGCTCTCATTCCCATCCTCTGTATACTTCCCTGCCCGGACCATTTCAAGGCCAACTTTAGACGTTTTGAGAAGGCTACTAAAGGGCCATAAAAAAAGGAAATGATATTTAATTTTCCTTTTTTGGAAGAGAGAGGCACATCCTGCAAATATTAGGAATGAGAGGGGTGGGTACTACATGGGTTGTATCATTTTTCAGTAATTCTCTCTTCTGGAACTTAGTTTCAGTGACCACATGAGTCCGCTCCCATTGGCCCAAATTATATTTTATAAGTGCAAGTTGAGGATTATCTTTCCAAATAAAAGCAGCCAGATTGAAATCCCCTCCTTGCCATTCCTGAGAGAATGACACAGGCTAGTACTAAAAGACTATCTTTGTGTAGAACAAATGGACCGAGGAAAATCTGCTTTCCTCTCCCCCTGCCCCTTTCTTCTTTACATAACTAGAGCCAAATGAGATGTTTTTCATTTTAAAAATTTGATTAAGCAGACTGAGCAAAAGCCCATTCTGCTGGTCTTTACTGCCTTCTCAATTTTGGGACTGAATCAAGGCATACTCAGGTTGGAAGGAGAGTGAAGCCAGGGCCTCACTGCCAGGCAATGGTCTCGTTTGGAAATTTGTAACTTTTGGAAGGTGAGAGGTGGGGCCTGCAGCACCCCTTCCCCATGAGGCAGCAGAATTCAGACTGCTGTGGTGGGCATGAGTGAGAGGTCCCAGGTCCCCCACAAACCTCCATATCACGCTATATACACAGCCTCCGGGGCTGAGGTGTGAGGAAGGTGACAGGATAAGGAGTAAGGGGAAATAGTATGGTAAAAAACAACCCAGGTAGAATTATTATGAATGAGCTGTCCTTTTCCTCAGCTCTAGTAACTGAGAAAACCTGCTCCCTTGGCATATTTAAAAAGATATTACAGGGCACCTAGGTCGCTGTCGGTTAAGTGTCTGATTCTTGATTTTGGCTCAGGTCATGATCTCAGGGTGGTTAGATGGAGCCCTGCATCGGGTGGGAGCCTGCTTAAGTTTCTCTCCTGCTGCCCCTCCCACCCCTCTCTCTCAAAAAAAAGAAAGAAAAGATCGGACAAACACTACATGAGTACCGTCTTCCAGGGCCATTCTCGTTTGGGCTTCTGTACTTTAAAACTACAATATATTCTACCTTGTTTTCAAGTGTCTTCCTAAGAGTCTGTAGCACACTGCATGTTCCCTGAGGGTCAGGGTATCCTTCTGCCTCTGTGTCTTGCATATAATAAACACTGAATGAATATAGAAATGAATGGAGGAAACAGCTACAAAACAGGCCTTGGAGTAAAAGGCTGAAGAAACTGGGTTTTTTAGTAGTAGAGAGGGATAAGGTATGAGTTACCACAAAAAACAACAGAACATCTTTACGCTGATATGAGGTAAAGGACAATCACATTGGCTTGGAAGGGGATCTGTGAGGAGTTTCCTGAATACCATTTTTCAGGAGAGACAGCGCATCAAGTGCAAATAATAAGTAATGTCATAGTTTAGTTTCACTGTCTATAAACGGACTCATCATTCGTTCTAGACAATTCTTTCCCAAAACCGTGAGGGAGTTTAGTTTCCCAGGCCTGCTACTGAGCTCTTGCCATCTCTCTATCCACGAATGAATCAGCACAAGGAAATTAAGTACAAGTAGATACCCTGGGTGGGCTTATCCATCAAGGGAATGGGGGTCCTGAGGCAACCAGGCCCTCTATTTCTGAAAAGTCTCAACAAGAGAAAGGGAAAATCCCCAGCCCAGGATGGCTTCTCCTTTCACCTGCTTCATGAAATCCACCTGCCTGAACAACCTGCTCTCTGGCAGTGGCCTTCCACTCTGTACCCTCAGTGCTAGTGTCCTGAAACCTTCAGTGGGCGCGTTAGAGCCTTACTCTGACAAGCGGGAATCTCGCAGTACTTCCAGTAGACTCCGTCCTCATGCTCTGCCACATAGCACCAGGGGCTCACATCTCCATCTGGATTTCTGTCAGGGAAAGGACACACAGGTAACATTTCTGTCATGTTAAGTCAACTCGCTTTTCAGGTTTACCAAAAAGGAATGCGTCAGCGTCTGTGTTATTTCTAATAATTGGTATGTATTGGTATTGGTATGTGCTGCCTCTTACAAAGAGAAAAATGCGGTGAGGGGGTGTGCCTGGCTGGCTCAGACTGAAGGGCATGTGGCTCTGGATCTCGGGGTCATGAGTTCAAGCCCCACACTGGGTGTAGAGATTACCTTAAAAAAAAAAAAAAAGAGTAAGAGAAGAATGGTAACGCTACAAGAACAAACTCAAGGGTGCCTGGGTAGCTCAGTCGGTTAAGCGGCTGCCTTCAGCTCAGGTCATGATCCAAAGATCCTGGGATCGAGTCCCACATCGGGCTCCCTGTTCAGCAGAGAGCCTGCTTCTCCCTCTCCCTCTGCCTGCCTCTCTGCCTACTTATGCTCTCTATCTCTCTGTCAAATAAATAAATAAAATCTTTAAAAAAAAAAGTCTTTAAAAAAAAAAAGAACAAACTCATGCACTCTGACATACAATTCAGAATTTGGGGGTGGGGGCTGTGTGTGGTGAGCAAAGGTTATATAATCTTACAAAGATTCATGATAGTGTAACCAGGGCAACCGACCAGAGAACAAATCATGCCAAGCAGAACTGGCACCTTAAGTGTGCACACAGTGACGCCCATGGCGGAGTGCACAGGTGCTCTCAATACTGTGGATAAGAATGTGAGTGAGCCCAGGGGCGCCTGGATGGCTCAGTTAGTTAAGCCGACTTTGGCTCAGGTAGTGATCCCCTGACCTCAGGGTCCTGGGATCTAGCCTCGCATTGGGAGACTTGATGGGCTCTGTGCCAAGCCTCTGTGAGGTGGGGAAGCCTCCTTCTCCTCTTCCTCTACCCCTCCCCCACTTGTGTTCTCTCTCTGTCATATAAATAAAAAAAACTTTACATTAAAAAAAAAAAAAAAGGATGCGTGATGCCTGGGTGGCTCAGTAGGTTAAGTGTCTGCCTTTGGCTCAGGTCATGATCCCAGAGTCCTCGGATCAAGTCCCACATGGGGCTCCTTGCTCAGCAGGGAGCCTGCTTTTCCCTCTGCCTGCCCCTCCCCCTGCATGTACCTCTCTCTCTCTCTGACAAATAAATAAAATCTTAAAAAAAAAAAAGGAACGCGAATGGACACCCATGATCAGGATGGCAATTTGGCAATTAAAGCCAAAGGCCCAAAACATATGCAAAGCCTCTTTACCAGGCAATTTCTCCTTTAGTACTTTAAATCTCCACTTACAAAGATGTTCATTGTAGCATTTTTATAATACAAACAAGTTAGAAACAACACTTAAGGATTGATTAAATAAATGTTATATCCATATAAGGGAATGCTGAGCAGCTAGTAAAAATGCGGTGTAGAAACACATTTATTAATATAAAAAGACAGCCACATGTCTTGTTGGTTTTGTTTTTTTTTTTAAAGATTTTATTTATTTATTTGACAGACAGAGAGCACAAGTAGGCAGAGAGGCAGGCTGAGAGAGGGGGGAAGCAGGCTTCCTGCCCAGCAGAGAGCCCGATGCAGGGCTCAATCCCAGGACCCTGGGATCATGACCTGAGCCGAAGGCAGAGGCTTTAACCCACTGAGCCACCCAGGTGCCCCTTGTTAGGTTTTTTAAAAGGTAGTTCGAAAACACGGTGGGTGACAGAGTCCCATCATTTGAAAAGAGGTATTCAGGAAAGGATACACCATCAAACCCCTAAAAGTATCTCTGGAGAATGGGACTATCAGTAATTAAAATTTTTTTTTTCTTTTCTGATTCTCTTTATTTTTCTATTTCTTCTACAATGAACACGGATTGTGTAATTTTTAAACAATAAAATAAAATTCACGTGCTATAGAGTCCACTGACAAGCTTTCACTAACATCAGGCTAGTTGGCACATGTTTGACAGAAGTGGGTCCTATTCCTCCCTCAAATACTAACTTCTCAGAAAAATCTGAGGAAAGCTAAGCCTAAGAGTTTCAGTCAGAACATGCAATCCTGTGATCCTGGTACCAACTTCTGATGCAGCACTAATATTTTTTAAAGGCTTATTTCACATTTCTAAAATGCCCTTGAAGGTCTTTTCAACTCAAGGGCACCATGACAATAATGGGCCATCCTGCTGTAACAGACCCCAAATGGCAAGGGTTACCACACACGCGCACACACACACAAAAAAGCCTTGCCTCCAAGCTCCCTTTCTTTCCACTCAGAACACTGGAAACCCGACACTCCGGTTAGGCCGGAAATGGGCATAAAGACCCTGCAGCGGTAGCTCTGGAGCCACCCCTATCAGGCCCAGAGGGATAAGCCTATTGTGGGGCCCAGAAGATAAGCCGCCCCAAGCACAAAGGGTCCTTTCATTTTCTGTGCCCGAAGGCAGGTGCCAGCGCCAACTCTGCTCTTCCCTGTCCGTCTGCCTCTGCCTCTAATCCAGATCCGTCCAGCCCAGAGAAGTGCATTCCCATCACTCGCCATCTCAGACATCTCCACTGCGATGGGTCTGGCACCCGAGCACAAGACAAACATGGTGTCGGATGTCAGCTGAGAAATCAAAGCAGGAGAACTTGTACAAAGCCCTTCTTTAAACAGAATTTCACTGTCATCTTCCTCCCTCTATTCACTGTCCAGCTTTGATGTAGTATTTGGTGAAGACGTTAGAAAACAACTGTTTATTATCAATGTCAAAACCATTCTGAAAAGCATCCGTATAGCTTAATAAAGAATAAGCAAATCCATCTTGGATTTCGCTGCTGAGCTAAAACAAAAGGCCTAGACCTGCTGATGTGATGATAATCAACATTTCGGCCTCCCTTTTTTCTGAAGTAAAAACTGGTAGTTCAGGTCTGGTACATTCCATCAAGTCAAAGGAGAGGCTGCCTCTGGCCAGGGCTGAGGAGGAGAGCAGTCATGTTGTGTCAAACCCCAAACCCCCACTGCTCTCCCAGTGGAGAACCATGTGCACTTGTGGGAGTCTATGTAGGGCTGGGTGCTAATCCATGTATGAGAAAAGACTTTCTTTTTCATATAAATTAAACCTCTTTGGAAATTTAAAATTTACCTTAAAGTCAGACTTAAACCTAGGAGCTCTTCTGAGAAGCCATGCTTGAAAGAAAGCAACAGAATAATAGCATAAACTAGTAGCCCTCTATCAAGAGGTGCTTTGGAACAAGACTATAAGTAACTCTTGTAAAAACAAAACAAAAAAAAATCTACACACTGGTTTCTCTTCCTAAATATTCTTCCCAACCCAACTCTTTCTATGAGTAGCAAAAGGGACGGAAATAAACCAGAAATGGAGTGGGGTTAATTTCTTTAATCATGCAAAAATGATCTTAATGAACAATGTAAACCTCTGAAAACAAAATGTAAAAGAATGACTTCCTGAGCATGTGTAACTTTAACAATAAAATGCAACAGATAGCAAAATGTGAAGTAACACAGATTGTTACCTCTGGGAACTGGGGCTTGCTGAGGATTTTAGGGGAAAAGATGTCAAAAGATGACCTTATTTAAGCAATATTTATCTGTAGTTTTTGAGATTTTGGAAAAGCTTTTAAGATTTTTATAATAACAACTAAAAATAATGCAATGGTGACTGCAGGGTAATGGCCAGTTGGAACAAATTAGAGCAGAGGTGAAGGAAAGAGCTGCAGGCACAGGGATAAACTGGACGACAGGCCTGGGACTTCAAGATGCCCACAAGGGTCCTGGAATGTTAGGAAAGTTACATAGGGAGAGCAGAAAGTAAACCGTGTGGTCCATGCAAGGCAGGTATGAATACGTTGGCTCAGCAGGGTCGACAGTGCCACAGCTGAGATTCCAACATTTGGTAGAACCAGGGACACAGCGTGAGACTCAAAGAGTAGCTCAGTGAACATTTCTGCCTTTGCACCTGTCCTTAATACTAATTAATTCAACACAGTGCTGAACCATGAGTCACATTATCAGGATCTTGATAGCTTAAATGTAGCTATCACCAAAAGTGCTTAGAATCTTTCTTTGCTCTTGTCCCTATAGACCAGCATCTTAACTTGCTTTGGATCACTGATAACTTTGCAACTCTGATCAAAGTTATGGATCATTTCTGTGGAAAATCTCTAGCTGAAGCGTCTTGGATCTTGGGTGAAGAGCCCCTGTCAGAGTTAGACAGGAGGTAAACACCAAAGAAACACCGTATTCTCCGGAGAGGAAGGAAACAGCACAAATCTGATGGTTGCAGCTGCCTCTAGGGCAATGCTCTCCTGGACTGGCGTGAGGCGGGATAATGTAGGACAGCTTCCTTTACTCAGAAGCAGAGGAAGGCTCAGGCCACAGGCAGTGCTCTGTTTGACCACCACATTCCCAGGAGCTTAAAAAGCTTTGCCATCTGTGTATTGTCCACTGGCGGCGGGGCCAACTAAGAAAGCCCTTCCCAAGAGATGTGTAAGTGATCAGACAGGAAAGCAGAGCTCTGAAAACCTGCATCAAAGCAACCAGAGTTGAAAAAAGAGTGGTAGAATGTGTGTGTGTGTGTGTGTGTGTGTGTATGTGCGTGCATGCACGCCACACACACAAGCAAGGTGTGGGAGGAAGATTTTTAAAATAGTAACAAGAAAGGCCTTCTGAGTTGGTCAAAAGGAGACAAAGAAGCTTTCCATAGTCGTGGGCAAGGTTGGAAGGGACTGGAAAAGAAGGCCAAAGATTTTTTTTTTTTTTTAAGCACTGTGTGGCCCCATCTTACCTGCAGTAGTTATGCTCGCCGAGACCCCCCTCCCCATTGGGGTATTTCAGAGTGTTGTATGGATGCTGGAAAGTCTCGTTCCAAAACAGGCATGGCTTCCCACCTTGTATTGCCGTCCAGTTCTGCGTTCCCCTATAATCTGCACCATTGGCCGTGAAACATTCTAGGAGAAAGAAAAGACAGAGCAAACTAATTTTCTGGCAACATCCATAGTCTCCTCCCTCTCTGGTTGATGTTTTATTTGTTTTGTTTGGACCCAGCTGGAAATGGATAGTGTCTTGCTAGATCCTGGACACCGCGAAGTTAACATTGCTCAGGCTGAGTAAATCTGAAACGCAGTCCCCTTCGAAAGCAAGGCTAGTCTTGGCACTAGCTTGCCTACAGACCCTTTACAGATACTTTTCCCCTAGAGTATAATATATATTTTACTCGGGTATAAACAGGGAGCTGAAATGTACTGAAGCCCATGAAGTGAACCGGGAAACCCCCAAATCTGGGAACAGTGGGTAACAGCCATCGCAAGGAATTGTGGGTGCTCGGAGGGGGTCACTGGTCTCGCCAGTGTCTCTGTGTGGTAACTAGAACCAGGTCACCAGCTGTACGTGAGTTCTCCCCTACAGTCTGAAAGGCTGCACTGACACTTGGATTTAATAAGCCCATCGGATACAGCAACGCTTTGGAATCCCAATCACACAAGTCTGGGAATGACTCACATTCCCTGGTAATGAAGAACAGTCCTCCCCATGCTGTTTGAGATAGAGATGCAATGGAACAGACAGTCAACAGGAGGGAGCGGGGGCCAAGTTGGCATTTTGTCTCACCTCTTTCCAAAATTCCTCCCTACAAGACACACAGAACGTCGTCTCAGGTCCATTTAATAAAATGACAAAATCCTTGCAGGTGCAGCAATGTGCTTCTAAAATCTGCTTCTCAGACTTTGGGGGGATGGGAACCGAGGCTGATAGGATATCCCCCCACATATTGCATGCATTAAATTCACAGAGGTTCATGAGAAAGGCACAGTACAAAGAGCAATTTTTAAAAATTAGCTTAGTTGAAACTGACAGATAGAAGTACTTCAAACACTTCTTTAAGATGTATCCCTCGGAACCTGATGATCTGGGGGAGTTACGCTAACATTCTCGGCTTGCTTGCTCCCCTGTCCCTGGCACGCACTGACCTCTAACTTCCGGTATGAAGGACTCTCAGTGCTCTCTCCTGTTGCAAGGCATGTGCCTGTTCCAGCCTATGCATGCGAACAACATGAGTGCATCTACATTCTAGGAGCTACGTCTTCTAATATTTAAAATCTACCCACAGACCATCTCGCTTCCTATACCCCTTCCTCCCACTATCTGGGCTTTTCGTTGCCTGGAAGAGCATGGTTTTATGGACAGCCAAAATAACCTGGAATTCCAGGCTGCACAGAACATCACAGCGACTCATCATGTTTGGTGTGACATCCATATGCCAAGCCAGTACGACTCATCAGATACTGAAACAACCACTCTGCCCAGAGTGTGCATAAATACAAAACGTTAAAGGTCATTCAAAGAGGCAGCTCAGTGTAACATAAAATACACTGAATGGAGAGGTTAAGCTCTGGTTTCTTGTCCTGGACCTGCTGCGGGCCAGCTATGTGACCTTGGACGAGTCACCGTCACCCACGGCACCACTAACACATAGTATTTTACCGTATGCCGAGCTCTGCTCTAAATGCTTCACAAATATCAACTCCCCACCAACCTGAAGTGGAGGTCTCAGTATCCCATTTTACAAATGTGGCCACTGGGTCACTCAACCATCTTTCAGTGCCCCTAGAGGACCTCTTCAGATCATCCTTGCTTTCTCTGTCACTTCCCTAACCACACTTCCCCCTCATCAGCAAGTCCTGTTGACTTTCTTAAAATATATACCCCGAAACTGCCCTCTCCTCTCCATCTTGGGTGCCCCCACTTTAGTCCCATTCACATTTAGAGGACAGTTCAGCCTCGTTCAGGATTCACAGCCTCACTTCTGTCCTCTTGCAACTCATTTTCTGCATGGTGCTCAAAGTTCCCAGGAAAATATGAGCGCTGGGTACAAAACCCAAACCCTTCACCAATGCCTGCTAAGCCCCAGGCCTTTCCTCTCACTGCACCCTGAGCTCTTCTCCTAGTCACTCGCCCCGTGCTCCTGCCACACTGGCCTGCTTCTAATTCCGTAAACACACCATGCTATTTCCTGCCCAAAATGTTCTTCCTCTAATACCTCCCAGTGCAGACTAAATGTTCACTCCTCAGAAAACCTATCCCTACCATCTCCACTCCTAGTTTTCTGCCTTTAGTCCAGTTTGCTTCATAGCATTTATTATCACTAGAAATATATATGATCTGCTAGACAGGGAGAGAAAGAGAGAGAGAGAGACTCTGTGTGTGTGTGTGTGTGTGTGTGTGTGTGTGTGTGTATGTGTACCAAACCCTATCCTGACTCAAGGGTTAGAATGGGACCTGGAAACTGTATTTCTAAAAATCTGCCTCAGTGCTTCTGTTAAGTAATTTGTTTTGGGAAGCACTAGACTAGATGATTCTAAGAGCATCAAGTCAACCTTTTGCCGATTGCTAGAATTTTAATTGCTGCGTGCTGATACATCTTTTCCTCCTACCACAAGTGGTTGGGGAGTGGCCCAGGAGCCAGAAATGCCAGCCAACCAATGGAAGCCTTAGCCATAAACAGCAATTTGCAGGACAGTGGGGTCAGTGTTCCCAGAGGCTCAGATGACTTGATTTGTAACACAAAAGAATGTGGTGGCCATCCACACCTGTCAGTCCTCCTGAATGGGGATGAGGAGGCATCTGAGAGAGCGAATGGCAAAATGTAGGCTTCTTTGCTTCAGTCTGTTTCTCCTAGACCCAAATCTTATTCTCATTGCATTAGGGAAAGTGAGGCAGCGTACCACATTTTATGATTTTTTAAATGGATTTGCCCAGTGCATCTCAATTATGGACAATAACAAGAAAAACAAACTTGAACATTCTGGATTAAAGTGACATAAGCATTTTGATTTCATCAGAAGACCACGGCGGGTAATGAGGACCCCTTCTCCCTTATTGTCTACTGCTAAAAAACTGACATAAGCTTTGGCTAGATAAACAAGAAATGGCTTAAACCAATAAGAAATAAAATATCACATGGCCAGCTGTATATTTAGGCATTCAGTGAAAGGGAATGAGCAAAGGTGATAGATCTCATGTCTAGCATATTCTTAATTAACCCATTCAACAAATATTTATTCAGTACATACTATGTGTCTGGCACTGTTCACAGCACTGGGGCTACACTGGTGAACACTCAGCAGTCACGAAGCTTACATAGTAACAGGGGGGCCACACTCATAACAAACCATTCAAATTCACGTCAGGTAGTGAGGAGTGCTGAAAGGAAAAACGGAGTAAGGGGATGGAGACTGAATGGTGGGGGTTCTATTTTGGGGGGCTGGGCCCAAAAAAGGCCTGGAGGGGAGGGGGCATTTGAGCAGAGATATGGTCAAAGGGAGGAAACAAAACCGTCTTAAACGCGTGGGGAGAGCAGTATTGGCAATGGGCATAGTGAAGAGGAGACCCCTGTGGGCCCCAGTGTGCTTGGCAGGTCTGGGGAACTAAAAGGCAGCTCCTCTAAGCGGGAGTGGGTGAGGAGCGAAGAGGAGGGGGAGGAGAGAGGCAAGGCCAAGGACACACAGGGTCTAGAGCATTATATAAATCAGATTTTGGCTTTTGTTCTGAGTGTGAGGGGAAGCCAGTGGAGGGTTCTGGGCAGAGAAATGACATGATCTGACTTATCTTTCAAACCCACTGTTTAAAAAAATAAAAGCCAAAAAAAAACCAAAAACAAAAACAACTGTCTAGCTGCTGGGTGGAGAAAGATATCTGGAGAGGCTGGAACTCATCGGGGACATCTGTCAGGTGGTTACAGCAGAAAGATGAGCTAGAAAAGATGCCCTGGACCAGGCTGGCAGCCGAAAGGTGGTGAGAAGTAGCCACATTCTGGATATGCTTTGAAGGCAGAGCCAAAAGTATTTGCTGAGAGAAAGAGGAGTCGAGGCCCACCCCAAGGACATGGGCCTGAGGGGAGACTCCATTTACTACAATGGGGAGGCCCCAAGAGGGGCAGAGTACAGTTGGGTGGAACCAGGCTTTGGCTGTGGATCGGTTAAGTCTGAGACACCTTTCAGAACAGTGGGTGGAGATACACAGGAAGCAGATGGCTTGATGAGCCTGGAGCTGAGGAAAAGGGCCGAGCGAGGCTGGCTGATGCTAGAAGTGTGGCAGTAACGGCGCAGATGCGTGGAGAGAACAGGGTTACCGCAGGTGGAGAGAGAAGACATCTGGACCTGAGTCCGGGGGCCCTGCAACATTTCAGGCAAGGAAAGAGGAGGGCCTGGCATTGATGAGTGAGAAAGTGTGCCCTGGGAGGTGGGAGCAAAGCTAAGAAAGTGTGTGCATCTTGGAAGTCAAGGGAGAAGGTGTCCTGAGCAGGAAGGGATAATAAACTGTGAACACCGAGGAAACTTCATTTCCTCATTTTCTCTGGCCGGATCCCAATTACCTCATAGAAGTCATCTGTCTGACCCTATCTCTCCATCGGAAAACTCCAAATGTTTTGTTGTGGGGACTTAATGAAAACAGCCCTTGCGTTAAACATAAGCCTGACAGAAATTTAGTAACACAGCAGAAAATTTCCTCAATGAAGCTGGCATCAAAGCACCGAGAGCATTAATTCCACCCTTCCAAGTTGGTAATTCCTTATCTTTTCCCCCGTCACCAAAATCCTCCAAAGTATGGCATATAACATTTATTTTCAAAATTGGAGATGCTAATTTTATTGAAATTCCTTTGCCGATAAGTGGAATCACATTAGGGTAAATCAAATCCTTGGTTGAGAATCTTGAGGAAATGGTTTTGTGCCAACCAACTATTTTCTGTAGGAAACCGGTACCCCATGCAGGCCTGGCAGTAATTTCCGTGGTAGTAAGATATGCAGGTAAAGACTCTGCCTTTGGGTGAAAGCTCGGTACTCCTTCATTGCTAAGAAAAGCTAGCTGGAGCTTTCTCTCATAAAGCTGTGATTGTTCGTTATGCTTAGAATTTCGAAGGGTTGGGTATAAAGAAAAGCCCCGATGCTATA